GAGATAAGTACAGGCATGTACATTTTTTCATTAATTTTATTTTTTTAGATCTCACAAACACGTATTTGCTAAATATAGGAGATAAATAAATAAAATATTAAAGATCCCTTCTTGGCACTCCAGATGTTGTGGACTACATCTCCCATAATGCACTAACAGCCGTAATACTGGCAAGGTATTAGTAGAGTGCCGAAGTTTACTTACCAAAATTTAAATTCTTGGGCTAGTGGTAACTCTTTTACCTGTGATTTGTGTTATAATTTACATTCTACCAGGGTTTACAACCTCTAGTGGCTCTTATTTTGCAAGGATCCCTTTATACTTAGCCAGTTAAATGTCCAACCCTGGTCTACACCCCCATGGCCTATAAATACACACCCAGCCTTTAAACCCTGAGCAATATGGATGTTCAATATGGATGTTTTTTAAACTCCCCTTTCATTGTTTTCATGTTATATGAGTGACAAGCAGAATACAAGAAACATTTCAGTTGCAAACTTCTCATATTAATCAAGGACTTTATGCTTAAAACAAATTTAACATGAATATTTATTTCACTTATGAATAATCACCCAGCAGATATATTCCACATATGGGGTTGGGCATAAAGGATTAAAGTACATCTATAGCCTTAGCCGTGTGAATGTAAATCATAAAGGAACGCAAACAAAAAAAAAACACGTTGTACTGGAACCATAAGTGATTCTTTGAATGTACTACTGTATGCAAATAACTGGTTACACAGATAGGGCAGGGTATAAATTATGAGTGATTCTGTGCTGTCCCTGGTCTTCAAAGCTGTTCGGAATAACTTGTGCCAAACAAATCATTTCCAAGCTTACAAAGTTTACGATACACGCTGTATCTGTGTTTGCGAATAGTTTTCGAAACCTGGAACAGCTACACAATATTGTCATAAACTGTACTTATATCACATAGTCCTAGTCTATCATGCCTTTTTGGTGATGCTGAAAGAGAAATAGAAGAAACATTGTAAAGTAGAAATGATACTGGTAATAACCAAGTCCACAAGTATGCACAGCTCTTCTGTAGATATAGGATATTGTAATTGTCCACACGTTTTCTGCATTGCTCTATAATATAGTATGCCTGCTGTGTTGTTTTCATAAAAACACTTACCTTAAGAGGATCTTGTCATCCACACATATGTAGAATATAGATCCACTTTAAAGTAAACTTAGATTATAGTTATAAATAAATTATTTTGAACATTATTCTTTCATAGATTTAGACATGCAGAGATGGGGGTGGGGAGAATGGCTTGACGTTGGCATCATTGTAAGAATATAGGACGGCTATTGTGAAATTGATATAGAAAGTAGGTAATTTTTATTCTACATTTCATTTTCAACAAAATCAAGTCTATGCTTACTTAAGGTCAAACGATAACTTGTGTCATGTGTATTGTACCGTATTGTTACATAGTTAAATAGATTTAAAAGAGACGTGTCCATCAAGTTCAGCCTAACATCTGTTTTTGCTGTTGATCCAAAATAATGTAAAAAAAAATCCATTTAAGCATTTCCAATTTTTCAGCTAACTAGGAACAAAGTGTGGTGGGAACAGTGTGAATCACTGATGATGCCATAGGGCATGTAAATGCCCCGCTGGTCAGCTCCACTTAGGGCAGTCCAGTGCACAGAATGCTGTTGAAACACTCTTGATTGGGCTGAATGCCCTACTGTAGATTGCACGTTATGAATGCATCTTTTGATACACTAGCACTGGGCTGTTTGACTAGTTGTCTCTAGTCTCCCCTTAAGTGACATATCAGAGTCCAAAAGTGAATGGGAGGAACAGGACCCAATATCAGGGCTGTCCTATAAAATTTGGAATGCTTGATGGTACGTTGGTACATTAACATTAAATGTACTCTGTCTTAACTTAAGACGTTATTGCAGTTCATTCTCCAATCAGTTAACTCCATCTGATTCCCATCCTGGTGTGCAAACATACAATAATATACTCTGATGAACTAACAGAGAGAGATAGATAGATAGATAGATAGATAGATAGATAGAGGGAAGGGGTGAGAGATTGTGGGGGGATGTGAGAAGGGTTGTTTTGCCGTTAATAATTACTGTAGTTTTGTTATATTTCATTGACTATTGTTTAATGGTTGATGAAGTTGTTAAGCTGAAAAAAAAAGAATTGTGGATTTGACAAAGTACATTCTGGATATGATCCTGGAATTATTTTACATACTGGTAATGTATGGGACTTGATTTTTAGGACAGGTTGCAGTACATTTGATTAAAGGTTTACATGATGGGAAAGGGTACTTGGCTTCCACCCACTCATAGTTTCCCGATGTCACTATTAATTGGAATAAGCTTTCCTTCCAGAGCCTGCAGCAGCAGCAGCACTGATATGACAGCTAAATTCATGTTTGCAAGGCACATGCCTACACAATGTCTTCTCAAGTATTATCATATCCGTCCTGTTTTATTCTGTTGCAACATGGGGATTGCAGAGGGAAAATGACAGCAAAAAATATGCATCATTTGCAATATACTGAATACTTTTTACACACTGTTTTGGTGGATTAGCCGTGCTCACTAACACAGATTTAGACAGATTTGTGAACAATATTTGAAAGAAATAAGCCTTTTGTGTACATAGAAAAAGTCTTAGATCTTCAGCTCGTGAAAAATGGGAGCAAAAACAATGTTGCATTTATAATTTTGCTCAGTGTGCATATATATGTGTGTGTGTGTCTGGGACAGTCCCTATACCTGTCACAAAACTTTCCACAGCTCCAGATCCTGTCTTTTTAATCTGGTGTTAGACTTCTAAGGACAACAAATAAAAGTTCTGATAGTGTACGATGTGAGTGCATCATAAAGCTTGCAGATGGACAAGGTGGCAAACATGCAAACCAGCAATTGTGCGTATAGAATGACAAACAGACAGATTCTAGACATCACCAGTGACATAAATTCCATCTCTGTATCTGCCCTGCTCCATTTTTTCTATAGAGTCCAATTTCTACATACAGTGAAGGCAGGTGCATATTCAACTGCATTCATGGCAGATCTAGGCTATTTCAAGGCTGCCTTGGTGGGTGTGCTGCTGTGGGTATGTTGCCAGGATATCCCTGGAGCCATCTGATGGTAAGGAGTCACATTGTTTTTGAATTGTTTCACACTTGTTTGGGTCTCTTAGGCAGCAAATGTCCTTCTGTGTTATCGCTAAAGTGGGAGTTCTGTTTTCCCTTTAGCAATATCAGTTTTGTCCAACGTGGGCCACATTCATTGACTGAGACTTATGAGAGTGCCAACAAATGTGGACAAAATGTAAACTGCTAAAGTGTAATGGAAGCAAACAACTATATGCAATACCACAGAGAGATGGAAGGATGCAGGTGCTGAAGTGCCCAGGAAAGTGTTAAACTGTCTAGAAACAGTTCAATCCCCAATTATCATAATGACTACAGTGCACATTAGCAGTTATGGTGGAACATCTGAGATCGCTGTCCAGAAGAATACAGTTCTAGGAACAGCTAAGATACTGCACAGAATCCTCATACTCCCAGGCCTCTGGTAGAGGACCCGAGAATGAGGAATAACTATATCACCCAGGTGGGGTGAAAAAAATTAATCTACGGTTTAGATAGATAGATATTGTTAAGCAGTGAAAGTTTGTTTTCAGCAGAGTCTAAATTCCCAGTTAGAGTCTAAGATTTGTATCATCCTGGGCCTGTTTGTCAAGAGATCATTTTCTAAACCACATTTGTCATTTTGTCAGGGAAATGTATTATGTCAACCACAATGTCATTATAAGACCAAAATCAATTGTCAGTGATAAAGCGTCATTTGTGAAAATAAAATCTATTTTTTTTTTTCCTCAGCGATAAAATAGATTTTGTCAGCAGTTACAGTAAATTCCCTGTTGGCTTTTTGTGGGTAATATCATATTTCGAAAACAAAATATATTTTATCAGCCAAAAGATAATCTCTGGACATATGTCTATACATAGCAACGATCAATTATGGCAAAATGGCACAGATATAATTTTGGAGCAGTCCACATTTCCATTGGTTGCACTGTTTTGTCTATTTATCAAGACAGTTGCTTTTTTGATCATAGCCTGAAACTTTTAACAGTTTTATTCTATACAATTTTTCAGTTTTCATTGATATATTTGGAGCTTATATATTAAGAATTTCACACATCCCTTAAATTAACTGTGACATTTGTGATAATCATATAATGTCATCTAAAGATTATTTTAGCCATTTGTAAAGATTGAAATCCTTCATGCCCCACCTTTGGTTATTCACTAAAGTAAAGGGACAGTGGAAGCACCACAATCATTTCAACATATTGTAGTGATTATGGTGCTAGGAGGCTATAGGCACAGTCCGTCTGGTATTTCTCAAACAGTTTGTGGTTTTCCAGCACCCACAACCCACTTTCATGCTTAGGACATCACACTGAAAAAGTTTCAAAATCAAACATATTTGTAAGCTGTAAAAATCTAAGCTGGATTTAGTCCTACAGACCAGAGAGTCTAAAGACTCGTTTTCTTGAGAGTCACTATTCTGAATTCTTACTGAATCAGAAATGTAGCAGAGCCAGGGGCGTTGTTGGGTTCCAAAACTCAATGACCCTTACAGTGACAGCGAGGTAGAGGTATGTCATTATATATTCCCACCTTTCTATGTTATCTACCCTCCTAACTACTCAGGGGAGATCACTATACTTCTCATCTTTCTTTTTATAATAGATGGCTGTATTAAGAAACAGCTGCCTAATTTAAAATGAAGCATAAAAAGACATTACTATCCATCTGTCCCCTACATCAACTGTGGAGATCATGGGCTAAAGACACCCACATTTGGAGCTTTAGCCCACAACACCACTTCCCTCAACAATGCCTACCAGCACAACCTTACCTCTTAGCACCATATTTGGTACGAAAAAAAGTTAGTCTCGAAATTCCCCCCCCCCCCAAATTTATAACATGAAAGTATTAAATTCCTTATAAATACATATACAACCTATATATGCATTATACTCACACATTCAGCCACTTGTTATTACTATATTCCCTGGTCACGTAAGAGAACTTAAAAAAAAATGCATCACAGGCAGGCATACAGGCATCACACAGTAAATTCATCAGAGACAACAAGCAGTTCAGTCGTGTCACGCCAAGTATAACAAAACAAAAAATACATATGGATCAAGGTTTTTGTATAAAATGGTATAGTAGAAATAAAAGAGGCAAAAGTAACAGAAACCAAGCCCGAGTCCCCTAAAAGGAATGTCATATAAGGGAAAGTATGTTGAGTAGGTATAACACAGGTGTAATGAACCTCCTGTACTTCGTGAAGTACGTTAGTTCGCACACTTCCGAAATGCTAGGGACTTAGTGATTATAGCATGTTCGCGTAGTACTCTGATTCGTACTTTCCTGAAATCCAAGCTGGTCGTGAGAACAAATCAAGCGGTTCGCCGTTCGCATACCCAAACATCAGTCGAGGCTTGATGAAGGGTACAACAGGAATGTTTTATTATGGCCAGATTGCCCACTTATATTTACAGACCCACAGCAGGGGGTCTCAAGCAAGGACATAGCATAACACTCCCCCAACACACCAATGACACTCCCACAACACACCCAGGAGTCTCTGTATCTGGGAGATAATTTAGTGTACTTTGCTTAAACTAATTATCTCCCAGGCACTAGAGTTCCAAAGCATAAAACATAAAATATAAAAAATACACATACTATATAGAGGAACCCCCACAAATATTATATCCATGGATAGCCTGGATGAGCACCTAAGTTGTCCAAACAGTGCTCAGATCCCACTAACACAGCCAAATCGCCACTGGGGGAAAGTTTTGTAGTGACAGCACACGTGGCACCTGCCTAAATTAGTTCCAGAGAATCAGTGGTAGCGTTTGGTCAATTACGGGAGTTCCAAAACGAATAAAAAGACAAACGGTTCCCCTGGTTCATACGTATTGATTGTTCACCTTGTTCATTCAAACAATCCTACCGAACAGCGCTCTCCTGGCTTGTCGTGGAAAGAAGCAGGCGTTCATGTAAATTTGCCAGTGTTCGCAAGGTCGAGTGCTCGACTTAGAGTTCCAGACACTTGACGACCAAGTCCCACTGCCTGCTTTTGTGCGACAAGATGGCTGTCACACAGAGAGAGTTCTTAAGTTTGTGGTTTATTTGAAGTTAATGAGCCATGGGGGTGTTCGGTGTTCGGTAGATCCATCTATCAAACTCAGGGAAAGTAACTGGGTGAATAAAATACATAGTTTTTATCACAACAGGCTATGTGCCTCTTAACATAGTGAGAGTTGAATTGGTGCATGCACCTGAGAAAATACACGGCAAGAGTGTATTACCCACCACATTTGGCCGAAACTACAACTGTAATTGAGGAGAGTGGGTGAGGGGTGGGCAAGGAGATTTAGGGGAAATAAACCCATATTGCCAACAAAAGTTAGGAAAGGTGGACATATCACCAGGGACATATAATATGTCATGGGTAACAACTTCAACTCATTAAAGTTATTTTGGTGACTGGAGTTCGCTGGACCCATCCTCTGCATCCTTTTCTCTTCAACCTTTATCGAAATGTTTCCCAGGGTTCCAGTCCAGCCCAGCCCCCAATGACTGGATGGTGACGACAGAGATTGTCTCCACCATACACTATAACATGCTGTGATAGGCCAAAGTCTTATGTAGTACCATATTCACCACAATAAGTTGTAGTACTTAAAAAAAATAATCATTTTTTAAAACTTGTTTTACATAGTAAATGGTGCAGAAATTGAAGGGGGAGGGGGTATATTTCTTTGTTCTTTTTAATGCCTTAGCCTAATGAGCTTTTTGGCAGTTATGTCGAAATCTATTATTAATAACATCCTAAAACGAATTGGATGGTTTTAAAACACATTAATGTAATAATGCAGCATTTTAAATTCAATATAGATTGACATACCTTCCAACATTTCAAATAGGCAAAGATTTACAATTTTAGGTGATGTGCTTATAACAATTTATGCAACTAAAACGGAATGTAGTACCAAGCAACATATGTTTTCTGATTTTCTGATTTCTAAACATTTATTGTAGTTTAAAGACATTACTGTGAGTATTATTGCTGTGTAGCTCTGGTAAATACTGAGACATACCAAGAATACTGAGCTCCTACAACGACTGTCCCTCTAGGAAGTATGGATTAATAAAATAAACTCTTACATGGCAAAACACCTTTCAATAAATGTATACAGTATTTATAGAATCAAATAGTGGTATGTCAATTTCCTTTCACTTTACAAATCGAGTCACTTTGTATGTATGAAACAAAATGCCCTCCACTAATATTGGCACCCTTGGCAAATATGAGCAAATAATATATACGTGTAGCACAATTATTGGCACCCTTTTAGTCAATACTTTGTGCTACCTCCCTTTGCCAAGATAACAGCTCAGAGTCTTCTCCTATAATGCCTGATGATGTTGGAGAATACATGGCAAATGATCTGAGACCATTCCTCCATACAGAATCTCTCCAGATCCTTCAAATTCCGAGGCTGACACTGGTGGCCTCTCCTCTTCAGTTTACCCACAACAATAGATCAGAAGGTTAAACAATAAAGAAAAATTTTGACAGCTCATACCTACCAAGGGTACCAATATTACTATACATTTGACATTTTACTTTTTTACCACTGCATGTTTAATTGTTAACGATATGGTTATATAAAAGAAAACATATACTTTTTTGTGTTCTTCTATCTGGATTGCCACAACAATTTGTGGATGTAGTTTTTCTCACTGATTTTTTTTCATCATTCTGCTAAGAAATAATATCCTTTAGTTTTGACTTTATATCAGTGGTGGCTAACCTTGGCTCCGCAGATATTAACAAACTCTATTTCCTATGGTTTTAATCCAGCATTTAGGATGATGCCAAGGTTTGTTCTGACTGACCTTATGCAATGTATTGGTCTGAGTTTGGCAGATTGTGATATCCTGATATTCTCATGTCCTGCAAATAAAGTTCTTGTAAAGATTAGTTTGCTTTTGTTCAGTAAAAATGTCCATTTCCCAACATGTGTACCCTCCTAGATCATAAGTCAGGTTTTAAGATGATAACGGCTTTGTTTTTTTATATACATATACATAATCACTCAAATTCATTGAGATGCAGTTTAATAACTGCATTAATAATGCAATAATAACTTACAATGTAATAATTCATACTGCTTCAGTATGTGCTAGGCTATAAGAGACTATTATAATTGCTGTTATAAATTATATCTAGAGAACATTTTCAAGACTATATGAGAAGAACACATAGCAAAGCTTAGCTTGACAAACAGAAACAAACCAACAGAGAAAGTTTTGAGAGTCAGTTGCCTTTCTCTCTCCTCACTGTTCTGGAGCCTATAAGTCTCATTATGCATAGTGCTTGTTCTAGCAACAGGGGATGATAGGAAAGCGTTGGGCCCAGTACTATGTATATGTGCAGGTAGTAATTTTATTATTTATAATGCGCCAGCAAAATTCTGTAGCGCTGTACAATGGGTAGAATAACAGACACGTAATTGTAACCAGACAAATAGATGCACAGGAACAGAGGGGTTAAGGGCCCGGCTCAATGAGCTTACATGCTTACAAGACAATATATTTTTGAAAGAGCAACATACAATTTTTTTAAATTAATTTTATATGCTTGTTTCAATTAAAAACACACGTTATTCTTAGGGTTTTTTTTGGGGGGGGGGGAGGGGCGTGGGGAGGGTTGTAGTAAAATAATGCTAAGGGCTTATCAGTTGGAGACTTAAATCCAGTTAAAAGTCCACAATTGGAGAGTAATTGATGCTAGATCAAGAAGAAATGCAGTACTAACAAATTATGATAACAGAAATGTTATATCTGTTATATATCAATAAATCATAATGGAATTCCTATGTTCTGGATAAGATCCAATTAATGACGGAGTTGAATGAATTAATATTGATTGCTGTTTTGTTAATATTTGTGGAGATTATGTCTGGAATAAAATATAATGAGGAGAGATAATGTAATCCAAATATTCTATTCTATTCTATTCTATTCTATCTACAAATTAATTTAAAAAAAAAAAAGAAATGTTGAGATTGTAAATATTATTAAGCTAGTTTGTACGATGACCGAATGCTGTTCTGCACAATACACAGTAATTAAATAGTCTTATGATTATTTCCTGGTTTATTATAGAGGAAAGACATCAAACAATGTCTCAAAGGATATTTTTAATTTTAAATTGACTTTTTTAGTTTTGTTTCTTTTAATTTTATTGTAGTTTGTCAAAACTCAGAAATCATTTTCTCTGAATATTTTAATGGTTTTAAAATTCAATGGGACTATTAACAATTTTATTCACCATTTATTTATTCAACCTTTATAGAAATAGTGGGGGATACCTCCCCCACTCCATTGCAAGAGTGGAATTTGATTTATTTTGATCTATACTGAATCATGTGCATTAAACGATAGTGGATAGAACTTCAAGAATGACTGTGGTGCAGATGAGAAATATGCTTTGCCCATATTTACACTAGGTAGTTAGGAAAGGGCTTAATATTGCTCAATGGTTTCCTTTTGTCTACTAATTTTTGATATTATTTTTAGAAATCCCTCTCAGCTTTCTTTTGGGGACCAGCAATTGGTTTGTTCATAGCGTGACTATGACATCATACCAGCTAATAGCAAATCTAGAATCTTCAGTGGGATTTCTTAAAGGTTCAAGAGGATGCAGTTCATAGCTTAGAATAACAAGCCTTTGGACTTTTTTGACATTGACTTTTTCTTAATGTCAGATTATAATAATATTTATGTAAAATGTGTACATTGAGCTTTCGCTTCATTTCCGAATACTTTCTGCTATCTAGCCCAACTTCATGTTATCCATTATATAATTCCAAGAAGGATCAAAGGCCAATAGTCAAAACTGCAATTCAGTTATACAACTGGAGCATCTACAACTGTGCTATCAACAACATCAGCATCGCTACCGTTACATAAAAATGAAAATCTTGTATTCTAATTAATAAAGGTAGTGAGGCAGGAGATATATTAACGAGTATCTTACTCTTCTGGCTTTCAAAGAGTTAAATGGTTTCTAAATCTTGGCTCTATAAATAATAAGTGAGAGGGTCAAATCTGTCATTTATTTATAAAACTATTTCATTAAAACCAG